TAACAAACCGAGTGGCAGATATTCTGTCCCGTTACTATGAAACTGACACAGAAGATGAGGTCCAAGAACCTCATAATTATGTTAATGCGGACATACGCATTGATAAACTAGCTGAGGACTTACCTCAAGAGCGACAGAAGGAAGTTTTCGGGATTGTTGAGCAAATACTAGCTCAACGAGATGCGAGGGATAGTCGCGAACCTCGAGATATTGAGGCTGACGAGTTAGAACAAGCTCGAGAACCCTCGGAGAAGGAATTCGAGCAGACTCTAGAATTCAACCCGACGGTTTACGACTCACTAGTCGAAGGACCGAGTCTGACGACCTACTTTGAGTCAGACAAAGACTTTATTCACGACATCAGATCCAACACTGTTGACGATCCACTCTTGAAGCGGATCCTTAAAAAACCTGATGATCACCCTGATTTTGAGGTTGAGGATGAGCTTGTTTGGACTAAGAACCACGCGGGGAAACGAGTCTTGTGCATCCCTAAATCCAAAAAGGGTGTGCGGTCACTCCGAGGAATGATCCTGGACACTGCACACCAAATCGTTGGGCATTACGGCCCCCAGCGGACTACAACCTATATCCGCCACACTTATTGGTGGCCGGGACTATTCACTATGGTGGATAAGTTCTGTCGAACCTGTCAGCCATGCCAACAGTCAAAAGTAATCCCTCGCGCGCCAGCTGGGAAACTACACCCTCTGCCGATCCCTAATCGCCCTTGGGAGTCAATAGCCATGGACTTTATTGGTCCATTTCCTGAGATAAAAGGAATGAACTATGTTTGGGTTATAGTCTGTCGGCTCACGTCACAAGTCCATTTGTTACCTTGCCATACTAGCAATACCGCGACTGATCTTTCGTTGATTTATATGAAAGATATTGTTAAATTACACGGTTTGCCTAAATCAATCGTGTCGGACAGGGACTCGAAATTTACCTCTGTCTGGTGGAAAGAGCTTCACCGGCTCTTGGGTTCCAAGCTCCTGATGTCCACATCTTTCCATCCTCAGACGGATGGAAAAACCGAACGTGCTAATAGGAATATAACACAGATTCTTCGTACAACAGTTAGGCCCGACCAATGGGATTGGCTGATCAAACTCCCATATACAGAGTTTGCAATCAATTCCAGTATCAGCGAAACAACAGGCTTCGCTCCCTTTGAACTGAACTACGGTTTTATTCCCTCAATGCTATTTGAAGTGAACAATCAGAAGGATATACCTCCTGGTATTCGGGCATTCGGCATTCAAGCCATGCAGAATCTTTTCGATGCACACGACGCAATTATAGCTGCACGTGTATTTCAGACGCACAATGCGAATAAACGTCGCAGTTCCGAACCTGACATCAAGGTTGGAACTAAGGTTTACCTGTCGACGCGTAACTTGAACCTACCGAAAGGACGGACAACAAAATTGTTGCCCAAATATGTGGGTCCCTATACAGTGTTAGACGCGAAACCAAAATCATCGGTGTATACCTTAGATTTACCCGAAGAATTGATCAAGCGTGGTATTCACGATGTTTTTCACGTCAACTTGTTGAAACCGTACCATGAAACGGACTCGCTCCTGTTCCCTGACAGGTCCAAAGCGGAGCCGTATGACTTTGGAGCACCTTCCGAGTCGGAAGAGTTTGTTGATTCTATCCAGGACCACAAGTTTGTGAATGGAAAGCCACAGTTCCATACTTACTGGACACTGGGAGACATAACGTGGGAGCCATATTCCACTGTTAGTAGGCTAAAAGCCCTGGATGAGTATTACACTCTGATGGGGGTTTCACGGTGGCAGGATTTACCGCGTACAACTAAAAAAGGAAAACGGCGGTAATTGCCGCTACTCCTGTTTCGGAAAGTAAGTTTATATTCGGGGGTTAAACGAGAAATCACTCATTCATTCATCCCTCTTTTCTATTCCTTCTTTCTTTCTCACCAACGAGATGGATTTCGAGAGCAACAACACTCAGCAGCCGTCGGGGACTCCTTTCCCAATCAACACTGCTGTGGGGGAGACTGTACCCCTCAATACAAACACGAATCCATTCAGTCAGCCGCTTCTAGGTTTCACGCAAGGAGGCCCATGGAACCCAGCGCAGTATGCACAGTTCACACAACCAATGTTCCAACCACCTTGGATGTATCAGCAACATTCAGGAATGATGGCGAGGCCAACATCTAACATGGATGTTGATAGAACGGACTCCTCGGACTCTGGTAACTGGGTAGCTCACCCCGAATACCGGATCGTATCTCATATCCATCGCGAAATCCGTGGTTGTCCTGACCTACTAGGCCATGCAGTCATCGCTCAGCAGGCCAACGATCCTGGATTCAATAACGCCGTGAAGATTGTTGAGGACGACATTACTCGACCCTTCAAAGAGTCCGCCCAACGTGCAAAGGCCAAAGTCACCTTGCTAGAGGCGAAACTACAGGCCACCATCACAGATCACGAGGAGAAAGTTAATCTCCTGACTTCTACCTACACCGAGAAGCTCAATACGCTTCAGGAGAAGTATAACACTGTTCTCGAGGAGAAATCCAAGCTCATTGTCGATATGACCTCTCTCCGAGAATCTCTCGAACGTAACCGTCGGGAGTATAACTCTGCTCGCTCACGCATTGCTCCATACCGCCGACCAGAAGACCGAGCCCTCACTCGCCGTTCCATCTTCGTTGCGGGACCTACTGTCTCGCAGCCTACTCCTCCATTCATGATGACGAACTCGTCGTTGTCCTCCCTATACCCAGACTGGGGAAACCTACGAATTCCATTCCCTAACCAGGCCGCCACTTGGTCCACTCTCGAACACTCAGGGTACCGTCCTGGTCGAGATAACTCACTTGTCACCATTAATTGGGACGAGTTTGATGGCGTAGGCAAAACTTCAGCCTATGTGGACCAATGCATCGCGTCCAACGTCCTTCCAGCTCCCACAGTGTTTCCCTCGGGGATTTCCACCGGTCTCCAATCAATTCCTACCACCAGGGCAGAATTGACTGCCCTTGTTTCACGCTGTGCCATCGAGGGCAACGTCGAAGATATCTACCACCTTCGCTTCGCTTATACTCTGGCCGATTATCTCGACCAAGGTACCGAATACGCCCCTAACGTCAATCCCTTCTACGATGCGGAGAAGGAGATATTAGGACTTATGGCCGCTCTCTACCCACCATGGTCGACCTCATCTAAATTCCTCGACCATTCTACGTTCCGTATCCACGGTGTCCCCACCAACTGGTCTACTCCGTGTGTACTACCCCCTGTCAACACTCCCGATGCTGCCAACCGCAACAACTGGGTACAATGGGGGCAGTACTACTTCGTCCATGGCGACGCACACTCCTTGGTGGGACAGTTCATGTTGGACTGCGGGGTATTTGATGCCGAAAACGTTCGGGCTGGTCGGATACTCACAGAGCTCACTCCCCCTCGAACTGGCAAGTCTCGGGAAGCATTCGACGCCTTCCGATTGGGTTTCATTTCATTCATCACTAAGGCTGGTTTGTACGAGGAACTTCTAACGAAGTATGGCCTCTCTGTCAGCCCGTCCATTCGCCTCTCTCGCCCCGTCGGTGGTCCTCCGTATGACCTCGAATTCATGGCTAGGCATTTTGCCAGCTGTGGGATTTCCATCTCCACGTACAACTCTACTCTTCGCTTCGGCTGGCAATTCAGCATTGACCAGCAACACTTGACGACAAACTCTGCCGCTATCAAGTCTCAGTACCTCACGGTATTGAACGAGGCACGCTTTCGTGCCTTATTCTACCCCATTTCTCCTCCTGGACCTAACGCTATTCAGCGCCTCCCGGAAGACTGGCCTGCGACTCCTGGAATCATTGAGTTTCGGCGACGCCGAGCACAACTCGCCTTGCTACGAGAGTCTAAGGTTATCTCATCGAACTACAAACTCACCCGGACGATTCAATTCCCGGATGGTTTCGATGACATTGGATTTGGAGCTCTATCTGTCGGAGCTGGAGAAGCCGAGGGTACCTCATCGCAGTCGGATGAAACAGGTACCTCCAATGCTCCTCAGCATGATGAAGTTATGGGTAACGTTACTAGCTTGGGAGACTAAGCAATGGTACGACTTGGAGATTCTACTTAATATCCCCTGCGAAGGATCTTGTGGGGGAGAGTGTAACGGAAATTAATTATATATTTATCTATTCCCACGTTACTAGTATTTAAGAGTGGCGGACGCTAATTACTTCTTTATCTTTTACTTTCACTACGCCCACTATCTACTCTCCGAGTATTGTAACTACCTGTGGTCTAAATAAACCCTGGTCAAGCTTACGGTGCCCGCGCGAGTAAGGCGTATCGGTGAGTAACCCCCTACACGTCGTCATCGTCATCGTGGTCAAGAGGGAAGCTGCACGATAATCGGCTCCGAAGATACCGAGACGTAATCTCAGCGGCGTCACCAGCAGAACACTAAGACTAATTTAGTTTTTGACGCGATCTCACTACGACCTTCATCCTCTGAATAACACCAAGTCTGCCTTGAATCCTAGTGTATGAGCCTTGTGACCACCACGAAGATCAGATCATATAATCCTTGGAATTTAACTAAATTATACTGCCCAGTGCCTCGTTGAAACGAGCCGCATCCAAGTAGTCAGACGTTGGTGTAGATGGTTTTTGTGAGTCAATGTCCAGCCAGTCTTATTATACAGATTGACGAGGCTCTGTAGCTGCGAGATGAGAACACCGCGAGTGACTTTTACTTCCACTTTCACGCTGGATTTTGAAGACCGGATTTTCAGGCTAGTGGAACCAGGTTTCAAGTGCTTACCATCATCTTCGAGGTTTACTGCCTTCGACTGAATGACAGAAAGCCTTGAACAGATCTTGATACTGTTCTCCGGACTACATTCGACTCACCGCAGTGGGGATAGTATTTTCCGCAAGGTGGTTCGAATTCTACTTGGCGAGGGTAAGTGAAAAAAAAACGGTACAACATCCCTTTGCCACCTCCCTGGCTGGGAGTCGAACCCAGCTTTCGCGCGCCGGAGTGCACGTTACCGATGACAGGCGCGTGTACTAACCGATATACTACCAGGGAGTTATTCAATATATCCATAAGCGGTGTATCGACAATCCTGCTTGAAAGCACAATGGAACGGTTTTGTGTAATCTCATCGCGGGTGAACGAGGTTACAGCTCTCTGGCTCAGGTGTGCATCCGAAAGCCCAGTTCCTTGGGGGTTCAAAGAAAGCCATTATAAGTTACCAGTTCCTCTCGTTGTGCCCACGGCATCCATTCTACATCGCATATATTTACACTCGGAAGTTCTCAGAACTCAAGCGTTGAAGTCCTAAACCTCCGAGGGAAGAGGATATCATCATACAAGGAGAAAAGACGACATCCGTCACATGCCAGCCAAACTCAGATGCCGCATACGACACTAGCATATTTACTCTCAATCTGCAAAACCTTACAACTGACTATCCTCTTAAACTGAACCCCATAGTGAGTAGGATTACGCAAGCCTACATGATCTATACTATTCTAGATATACAAGCACAAGATGACATTTATGTATAAGTTTGCCGTGTGTGGAATGTAACCTTCTCTCACTGTATAGTCCTGTAGCAACATACACAACTCACCAACTCGGAACCTCAGAAGTGAGAACAATTCCTCGCCGTACCGCAAGCAAACGAAACTTCGTTTACATGTACTTAGAGTAAGGTAAAGAAAGATCGGAGATACGCGTAACCGGGTTTCCCCCCCTTTTCCCTGGAAGATAAAAGAGCATAGGGTAGGGGTAGGGATATGGTCATGCGGAAGTGGCTTGGGAGGCTTGAAACACTCATCCTGTAGCTGGAAGCGCTTATTGAGGCGAATCATGAAAAAAGCACCTCGAATTCCCTCACGCGTCCTCATCCCGACTACATACCGAGTTGAGTCAAGGGGTCCCTCCCGCGTTCTTGTCAGACGGCGATGGTGGTGGCGGCGGCGACACATGACGCTTTGGAGGCCACTCAAATGTCAGCCACCATGTTTTCTGCATTCTTCGGTTGTGGGCTTCGGCGTTGTTCAGACTGAGGATGACTGATTGGTGAGCATTTCAGGATGGATAGACGTCTTGATCATTCATTGGGTTCTCTGTGTTGTCTCTGCGTGATAGATAGAATGGTGATTAAACCCTTCCGAGACATCCACTGACATGAAGGACTAGACGAATCGCACCCGATCGTCGATCGAACCCCCCCGAGTACCTTCCAGTCGTCCCACAGTTTCCTATACGTTTCTAATCATCTCGAAGCGTCACCGGGAACAATCTCTCGCATTCAAATCTGCTTCAAGGAGGGCCATATCAACCTCAATCAGTAGCTCTGAATAGCGTAGGAATGTGAACAGAGTTGCAGCGTTGCGTTTCATTCAGATTGAACCCACTCAACAACCTTGATTTTTGCATTTCCGGGTCAACGCACTTTGAACGTTGTTTGGACTTAGGCCCGTCGATCGTGCTCGGTACTTTCCTTTTCTGTGATAGATCAAACACTGACATGAACTTGTTCCACAGGCACATATCTGGCGACAGTTGGTAGTCGATCCAGCCCCGGCACATTCTTGTAAATCACTTCTGTATCGCAGCATTTATTGCTACCGTAATGGTGGGTGCGGAATGCGTATAAAAGGCGTCAAATCACACCCTTCAACCTCCAAGTCTCTCCTGCCCACAATGCAGCTAAAGCATCTCGCTCTTCTCGCATCCCTCCTTCCCGCTGTCTTAGCCGGTGTCATACCTCGGACTGACATTGTAAACAACGATGGGTAGGTATCTCCGTTCCCCCAGCTTCGACGATGCCGACTAAATGTCTTCGCAAATCTTCAGCAACAAAGATGGTATATACTTGACGTCTCTGGATCCTATTCTCGAAGTTTATTATGTTCATCCCCCTTAGGTCTGCTCGGTAGAGCCCCGGACGACGTCTCGGACAGGGTATTTGGCACTCTTGAAATTGTGACGAACGGCATTAAAAACGTAGCAGAGTAAATCTTTCCATCGAGTCTTGACTACTTACGCGAGAGTACTAACCGAACACGTTCATCCTATGTCAAACAAAGCAATCTGTGAGGTATATACACGCACACTCGAGATCTCTATCGGTTATCACACACTGACCACATCGTACTGTAGATTCCGCCACCAATCGTCTAAGCAACAATTTGCCTGCCCTGTCAACCTCGAACTCTGTATAAACAGAAAATCAAATTCACACTGTTGTTCGTTTGCCGTTTATACCGTTGCTCTTTCCGGCTAGCTATAGTGGCTCACTGACGCAAGCATCGTCAAACCTCGCCCGACCGATCGTATGTACCCCCCCCCAGCGTCTGTGAAGTAAAGAACAAAAAAAAAAAAAGAAAGGTAATAGTACATCCAACATTCGAGTTCCTTCGATCGCATACTGTACCATTTCGGGATGATCGTCAGGTCACGCGTCACGGGAGACCCCATTCTGGTGAAATGTCACGCCCTGTCACGCGTCCCAGCCCTGACTGTCGAAAACTTCCGGAGGTTCGGTCCCAAAAATGGCCTAAAAATAGCCCAGACATGATGAATTTCACGAAAATTTCCGGCCGGTCACAGTGGACCGGCCTTTCTGTCGAAACCAAAAAGTGGATATTTTGGTCACGGGTCACACCCCCTGACGAATATCCCGAAATGGTACAGTACGCCCCAAAATACATAGCGTACAAATTCAGTCCATATCTTCGACGCCTCATAATAGTGTCAGTTTGGGACAGGTGTGGCGGTGAGCCCTCCCCCCTCAACGCTCCTGAACTTCTTGTTACATGTGCTTAGATAGACAAATTTTGTTTACGAGACTACCAAACGCTCAGCCACTGCGTTCTAATCCGTTGGAACGTTTGATTAGGCTGATGGCCCACCCATTCTACGCTAATCTGAGCTTGTCCGGTATATCCTACTTCATTCCGAATGGCCGACGTGAGTTGGAGGTCTTCGGGGCTGATTCCTTAGTTTCGATCGTCGTCGGTTGATGACTTATCAATGTCCTCGTAGCTCAAGCAAAACAAATTGGTATCACATACGTGACGTTTCTAGCTTCCTCGAGGCTGACTAAGGTCTTTTCCCGTAAACTTGGGAGACTTGCTGGGTGGCTTGCTTGGTCGCGACCTTCCGGGTTAAAATCGTTTCATAATCTCTCTTCAACTACACAGGCACTGGCATATTTATCCACATATAGCAAACGAATCAATGAGTCCACTAAGACCGTGTCGCTGCCAGAAACCTCGGAGAAGGACCAGTAGTTTCGTATAATCGTATGAATAGAAAGGAGGAAGAAAGAAAGTCGCACCGTTATTCGTCTACCATTTCAACTAGACTCTGACCGAGCGTACGGAGTTCCCGTCGGTCCGTGAAGCGAAGGAGGAGAAAAACAAAAGTACAATTCAACTATTCGAGTTCTTTCCATCGCATACCCCTCAGAATACATCACTTACACGAAAAGAAAACGAAAGAAAACGAGAAAACGAGAAATGCCACCTCTACTTCCCTTCCGTAACCATCGTAATCGCGTCAACCACACCAGGCTCCGCAACGGTCGACAAATCACCCGATGGGTCATCTTCGCCTGCTACAATTTCTCGCATGATTCGGCGCATGAGCCTCGTGGGAGAGGGAGTGAGGGAAACATGAGTCAGTACATGTACGAAAGGCAGGAAAGAATAACGAAGACCAACCTTCCCACTCCTCGTCTTCGGGAAGTCAGGAATGATGTACACCTTCTTCGGAGCCGCAAACGGTTCCCCCTCCCACATTAGCAACCTCCTTCCCACTCGTCGCAAGAGAACCGGTAAACCGGTTTAGTCAGAATCGCCCCAGGGACTGGAGTGATGACGGTTGACCCAGTCTCAGTTTGCCTAAAGATATCCACAATCGAACGTTCTTTTTCCCCCACATGTTCGTTATACCAATTCCACGCCGGTTGCTCGGTTCGCCTACGGACCCAAGGATTCGAAGGGAGGTGAGATCGTGGTTTTCGATGTATTGGTGGCCTAGACGTCTCAACAGCCGAATCGCAGTTGGAGGGGAGTAGAATCGAGTGTGCTTGTGTTTTGGGACGGTTTCCCAGTAACGCGAGGGGGTTGGATAGACGGGGGTGATTTCGAAGACGGTGGTTACGCCGTTGGTGAGGGGGCCGTAGATGATGTAATCAGAGAGAGTTCGCGGGTTAAATGAGAATGAAAAAGGAAAGCAGTGAAAGAAGACGCAACGTAGGTCCTGTGATCCAACCGATGTCAGCCATATTTGTCGTCGGGGTGGACGTCAAAGATGTTCTTGACGGTTAAATTTGCACATAGTAGATATCCATCGGTGGTATGGACGACGCTTTTGGGTTTTTCAGTCGTTCCAGAGGTCTAACGAATGCCATAATAGTCAGCACGGAAGGGAAGAAGAATTAAGATGATAACACACGTAGAGAATGAACAACGGATTCTCAGAGTTCATTGTCTCAGGTGAACACTACGCCGACACCTTCTCAGTCTCCTCATGCCACCAAAGATCCCTCCCCTCCACAAAATTAGAGCCCCTTGAGAACGTTGGCGATCTTGCAAGTCCCGTCGAGGAGTTTAGCATAGAGATGTATCCGTGTTGGTTCGCTTCGCTTCGTCCGCTTCGTAAGATGATGATCGTTTTTTCGGGGTGTTTGAAAGCCCAGCGGTCGAGACAGTTGTAGGGGGGCGTTAAGTTGGCCTTCGTAGAACCAGATGATATTGCCCTCTTCGAAGGTGCCGTGTTGGACGGTTTGGAAGTCGCAGAACTAGTGGAGGGTTTCGCGGGCGGTCTAAATAAATAATAGTAATAAGTTAGTTGAGATGAAGAGAAGGAGATGAAGGGAATAGAGCGCACCTTGGCCCACCATTCGTCACTAACGTTGCCTACAGTCTGCTTGTACGCATTCTCATAAGCCTCTCTGACAGGTTCAACTGCTCGACTAGCTCTTTTTCAACACCAATATACCCTCAAACTCCTCTTCCCCACTCCGATATTCTATCGCCGGCACCACTGACGGAAGCAGCCTCCTTCCC